GTGTCGGCCCTTCTGCCTATGGGGCGTCAGTCAGCTTAGTTCCCTGTTTCTGCACCAACGTGATCACATTTCCTTCTTCCCAGTGGTCTTGTCACGTATATCTTCGCCCACGTTAGATTCTCACAGTAAGTCCGCGATGGTAAGGGATTTAAGACTTGGGCCAGTAAAATACGAGTCGGTATATTTCACAGTCAACCTTGAATGATTTACGATCTGTTAGGCAATTTGAGTTACTCCTGAACTACCCTCCGTCGTTTGTGGCACAGCACTTCCTTACATTTTAAGGCTGTATAAAAAGGTTATGATTCATTCAAGTGGGAATGGGAAGTTACGAAACGGGCCTTCTACTCTTCTTTTCTTCCTAATCCTGTGACAGTACAGGTAGAGTTATTAGTACCAGGAAAAGGCTTTTCTTCCCTTTTGACCCCACCTGTGCCACTGGTCATTCACCCGAAATGTGACCTTCCGGGCTGGGGGAGTATGAGTAGTTACTCCCAACATGAGTACCCCTGACCGACCCTTCTTTAGATCACTGGTTTTCCAAGTCCGTCGCCCGAGGACCTTTCTGCACGACAGAAAACTCGGTAAGCCACTCAGAGCAGGCCTCCTGCTCTGAGCCATCTTAACAGCTATGGATGCGATCACACGACGACGCTATTTTAAATGGAACGTAAGTGAATTGTTTATACTAGGTGAATACAGACCCTGTCATCAAAATCACTAATAACATAAGAGACTTACTGTGTCCTAGCAGGACGTGGTGATTCCTCTCCGTTCCCCTCTTCCACGTGAACTAGCACACGTGAACGTGCCTGTGAAGTTGGAAAAAAAAAAAAAAATACCTATTCCAGTTTAAACTATAATAGAAAAACGATTATTGCCTTTTTTCCGCCAGGCTTGAGGGACACACTCTGGCAATTGTTCTGTTTTCCACAAAATTAAATGAGGAAACGGTCTGGTTTGTTTTCTCTTTGTTTTCAAGTCTGTGGTACCATTGATACATGGTTTAAAAGCATTCTTCCGAGGACCTAGTGGATTAAATCATTTTTATGTCCCCTAAGTACTGCCCCGTTGTGGAGAATTCTTGAGAAAAGTGTGGCACCTATCCAAAATCACATTCTCTGTTTTTTTCCCCCCGTATTTGAATTTTTTCCTTATAAGTTAATGGAAAGGAAAGTGGTCAGTTTTTGCACTCAAGAAACAAGAAAGAAGGTGCAGACAGCTTTTATCTGGGACATTTTTAAGTGATTGAAAGAATATTGTTAAGTATTAACTGCTTTTTGAAATTATTGGCAGAGCCCTCTTAACCCTCTAACATAGAATGGTTGAATAAGATGAAAAGATTTTTTTTATTGTCTACATAAAAGAAAGCACCATGGTTTTTGCATCATTGCATAAATCTAAGAGATTATGCACACATAAAGAGGATGAGACCAAGCTGAAGGCTAAATGCCAACATCAACGAAAGCTTGTCTGAGTATTTGACACTGTGCATAATGGGGTGTGGTTCCACAGGGAGAGGACACTAAATATTTACACCCCAGGACATGTTTCTCTGGTAAAGCTTCTTGCCCTAGATTAATCTTCCAGCTCATACTATTACCCCCTTCTTTAACCATACCCCCTTCTTACACTTGGATTTTCTCCCAGAAAACTTCATGAGAGGCTAAACCTTCTAGATCCAATCCCCTGCCCTCGCTTTTCCCATCTCTCCCATCTCTTTCTGTGGTCTTCGTGAATTCTGTTTTTTTTTTTTTT